CAATTCTTCCTCTCCCTCCCTCCTCCTCCCTGAACATACATCTTCCTTACCCTTTCATTCTTCACTTGATATCATCCCAGCATAATAGACTTACTGTTTTATGCCTATGTGCCTATGTCCTTCTACGTGCCCTAATGATGATAAAAGTATTGGAGTTGGCATATATCATCTTTACATGTAGCAATATAGTTAACTTAATCTTTTTAAGTTCTTTTCAGTTTCTCACTTATGTTTACCTTTTGATGCTTTTTTTGAATTTTGTGTTTGAATGTTAAATTTTCTATTCAGTTCTGGTCTTTTTTCAGGAATATTTGAATGTCCTCTATTCTACTAAATATCTTTTTTTTTTCCTGTAGGATTATACTCAGTCATTCTGAGTAGGCTGTTCTATGATCCTAACTCTTCTGGAATATCATATTTCAAGCCCTTCACTCCTTTATTGTGGTAAAAAGTGGTTAAATCATGTGTAATCCTATGTCTTCATGGTCTTTGAATTATTTCTTTCTGGGCCTTTGCAGTATTTTCTCCTTGACTTGGGAATTCTGGATTTTGATGATAATATCCTTGGGAATTTTCATTTGGGATTTCTTTCAGGAGATGATCAGTGTTTTTTTTTTTCAATTTCTATTTTGCTTTCTGATTCTAAGATACTGTGGCAGTTTTCCTTTATAATTTCTTGAAAAAATGATGTCTAGAGTATTTTTTTAAAATGGCTTTCAGATAGTACAATAATTATTAAATTATCCCTCTTTGATCTATTTTCCATATCATTTTTAAATGAAATATTTCACATTTTATTTTAATTTTGTTTATCGATTCTTTATGTCTTATGGAGTCAATTGCCTCCAATTGACTAATTCTAATTTTTAAGAAGTTATTTTCTTCAATTAATTTTGTACCTCTTTTATCAAGCTGTTAATTATTCTAATTTTCTTGCAATGCCTTCATTTCTTTTCCCATTTTTTCCTTGACATCGCTATTTAATTTTTAAAATCACTTATTTTTTTCACATCTCCTTCTTTAGCTCACCTAGGAATTCTCTTTGCACTTGTGTCTAACCTGCATTATTCTCTGAGCCTTTAATTGTAGACATTTTCAAGACTTCTGAGTTTGTATCTTGAGCTTCCCTGTCACCATAGTAGATGTTTATGGTCAGGTTCTTGTTTCTTTGTTTGTTTTGCTCATTTTTTCCAGCTTATTTCTTGACTTTGATGTTTATGTTAGATTTGGGTTCTTCTTATCTCTGGGGGTGAGGCTGAAGATGTTGTGCCTGAGGTTCTGTCTTTTATGAACTTATACTACTTTTACAACTCAGTGGGTGTCATTAAGTTTTTGATGCTTCCAAAGTCATGTGATCCAGGGAGTGTTATAGTTACTGCCCTCCTGATCTTCTGTCTCCTTACACAGGTAGGACCCTGTTACCTTATGACTGTAATCATTCCTTTCAATCCTGGAACTCTGACCTGAACTAGGTAATGAGCTACAGATCTTCTCAATGGCAATTGATCCCAGTGCTAGTACAGGGGTCTTCTGGGGCCTCTTTCTGACCAGGTATTTAGTTCCCTCCCTGTCCCTGGGCATTTGCTGCTGCCACTGCTGCGAGCCCAGAGCCCATAGATGTTACCATTTCTCATACACCACTGATGGACAATCCCCCTTCCAGTATCCACAGACCTCTCAGGTTTTCTAAGCTATTTTGGGCTAGAAAAATTATTATAGTACCTTTTTCTTGCTTTTTTTTTCTGTGCAGAATTTGGGTTTTCTATATTTCTTAAAATTGTTATAAAGGGGTGTGTTGGGAGAGTTCAGAAAAAAAATATTTATTTCATTCTTCCATCTTAGCTTTCCCTACTCCCCAAACTCCGTAAGTGATCTAATTGTGTATAGGCAAAGTATTACCAGTTTCTGTGTGTCTTCTTCTCTAGGTCTGCATGCACATGTGTGTATATTTTCTTCATGTTAAGTACCTTCTAATCCTGTCCTGGAAGAAAATATTCATGGTGACTAGACATGAAACATCTATGTCATTGTTTCTTTCCTTCTTTACTCCTGTACAGTATTTTCATATCAATCCTCACCCATAACCACCTTTTAATAAAAGTCATCAAACATGAAATGACATATGTAAACCATTTTGTGACCCTAAAAGTATACATAAATATGATCTCTTATGTCAAAACAATTTGAAAATCTTATGAAGTTCCTTTTTTTGTTTTCTTTTGCTTTTCTTCTAGAAGAAACTTTAGCAACAATTATGTGTGCATACATTACAATTATTTCCGCGAGTCTTTTTTTTAAATAATGATCATCCTTACTGCAGTATCAGATGGCCAAATATTCAGTGAAATGTTTCTCATTGCCATTAGATGCAAGACACTTTCTCATACTTCTTTATTAATTTCTCCAAGGTAAACTTGTGAGTCATGCTTCCATCTTGCTGCAATTACCTTCTCATTTTATTTATAACAGGAATGTCAGATTTGATAAGATTTTGTTCTTTTAATAGCATGTACATGGATTTATCATTAGAAAAGGATCTTATTGGGGCATCTAGGTGACGCAGTGGATACAGCACCAGCCCTGAAGTCAGGAGGACCTGAGTTCAAATCCGACCTCAGACACATAGCACTTACTAGCTGTGTGACCCTGGGCAAGTCACTTAACCCCATTGCCTAGCTTAAAAAAAAAGATGTTACATATAAAGTTATAATTGCAAAGTTAAAGTTTATTGATTAAAAAATAGTTATCAGTACCCTCCTCCATACTTTTCCACCGCTCTAGCACTATCATTCAAGAAACAGAAGGGGAGAAGAGAAGAGGTCTTAGGATCTACTCTTTGGGTAAACTTGAGAAAAGTTTGCATGACTTGGAGTAAGATCCAATAAAAGAGATTGAGAAAATATGGTCAGTCAGGTAGGAGGTTAATGAGGATGCATCATTATCATGAAAACCTGGAGAGGAAAGAGAATCTAAGAGAAGATAGTTCTAGATAGGAGCAAATGTTTGTTAAAGATCAAGAATGATTAGGACTGAGAAATGGCTATTAGATTTGGCAATTAATCTATCATCGGTAACTTGGGAGAGAATAGTTTCAGTTAAATTATGAAGTAGAAAGCAAGACAAGAGATGGTTTAGAAGAGAGTGAGAGGAGAAGGAAATGGACCCTCAGAGGATAAATTATTCTTAAAGAGTTTAGAGGAATGTTCCAGGATGATATCTAGTGAGTATAGTCAAATCAAATGGGGACATTTTTTTAGTTATGGGGAAGATATGAGTGCTTTGGTAGGCAGCATAAAAGTAATGAGATGATAGTGAAAGATCACAGTTTAGTGAGAGAATGGGGATGGCATGGGGGCAATATATTGGAAAAGACTGGATAGAATTAGATCAATGATGCATATAGAAGTATTTCCCTTGGCAAGAAGAGGGGCTATTTAATAACGATAACAACAACAACAATAATAATAACAATAATAATAAGCTGCTGGTGGTATAGTAGATAGAGCACTGAGCCTGGAGACAAAAAAGATCAAGTTTAATTTAGACTTCAGATACTATCTGTGTGACCTTAGACAATTCACTTAATAACTGTTTGCCTCAGTTTCCTCATTATAGTAAAATGGGGAAAATAATATTTCCTAGGTTTTTTGTGAGCAACAAATGAGATAATATTTGTAAAAATACTTAGCACAGTACCGAGAACATAGTAGGTACCATATAAATGCACATAAAAATAATAGCCAGTAACATTTAAGTAGCACTTCAAAGTTTGCAAAATACTTTACATATGCTATTTCATTTGATCTTTACAACAACCCTGCTAAATAGGTGCTATTATTACCTACATTTTAAAGATGAGGAAACTGAAGCTGAGGTATACTGCCTTTTCAAGGATCACACTGTGCCTAATTGTCTGAGGGATGATTTAAACCAGACCTTCCTGTCTGCAAGTCTGACATTTTGCCAAATTATCCTGTTTGGTCTAATGAGCTTCAATGGTAGCAGCAAGTTCAATTATTCCTTCTGAAAGGCCAAAAGGAACAGATCATAATCATTCTACTTTTGAAAATACAGTTGTAAATGGATGTGTTTTTTTTGGGGGGAGAGTACCTGAGAGAAGTAAGTCAGACCATTGATTATTCTTTCAGAGGAAGATGGGAAGTATAGTTCAGGCACTAACGGTATGTTGGCAGCTGAGGAAGTAAAAGCAATGTCAATTAGGCACGTGGCTGGATTTGGGAAATCCAGCTATTGGGTAGGGGAGGTGTTTGAGAGAAGGCAACAAAAAGGGTAAGACACAGAAGATTATGTGGATAACCCCTTCCTGAATTTAAAAAAAACATGTAGATTTGAAATGAAGGAAATAAGCTGTTCAGGTGACCAGCAACATGCATTTTTTTCCTATGAGAATCAGTCCTGCCCCACTTTTGTAAACTTAGAGGTGTGCCTTTAACATGGTTGCACATAGAAGCTCCTCTGTAGTTCTTTCCAAGGACATAAGATTCTTCTTTACACATAATAAAAAGGTTTATAATCACTTAATGGACAAAGTCTTGTTGCCAAGATTTTTTTAGATTACTTTATGCCTATATACTTTGAGGTGGGAGGTTCTTAAAATTCACAGATAAGCACACAGACATACTGACACACATACTGCCACTTTTTAATAAGAACATCTACTTGTTCTGCTTCCTCCCCCAAACAGAAACTGCATAATAAAGAGATAATGATATTTCTGTAACCATTTTGGAGATGTTTAGCATTTACACGGTGCTGATTAAAATCTGTTGTAGATGATAATTATACCAAATTCATCACTCAAACACTCAAAAATGATTTTAAAAAATCTTTAAGAGGCTTATACCAGATTTAACTTCTCAAAGGGGCTTCCATTTATGGAACATCTGACTAGATTATGCCCTTTTGTCACATTCTCTGTCAATGAGAAATCATTGAAAAAACAAGTAGATTTTTCATTCTAAAAATAACTTATTTCACAGGAAGAAGAACTAAGGAAGAGTGGGGAAGCCAAATATGCACACTTGAGTGATGAACTTCATGTGTTAATCGAAGTCTTTGCTCCACCTGGGGAAGCTTATTCACGTATGAGTCATGCATTGGAAGAGATTAAGAAGTTCCTTGTTCCAGTAAGTGCTTGATATGATTTTATATGCATGTTATTGTTCTTTTCCTGCAACTGAATGTTATTTTGTTCTTACCCATCATTTACAAAGCAACTGCCATTGATCATCATTAGAGTCAGTATGTTTGAAAGGAAAAAAAAAACAAACTAGAATTGAAGTGAGAGTATTTGGCTTCAAACCCTCGCTAGGCATTCTTATGTGTGGCCTTGGGCAAACAATATAATTTTTGTAGGCTTCAGTTTCTTAATCTGTGCAATTGAGGGATTTGAATTTGACTCTCTGAAGTCTCTTTCAGTCTAAGTCATTTATCCTTTGCTTTATGTTTAGTTCTCATCTTCATATTCCTAAAAGGTTCAGGTGTTTAGTAAATTATTTAAACAGATGCTTGTTGAATAAAATTAAATTGAATTCCTAGAATCATAGGTTTTGAACTAAAAAGGAACTTTAGAGATAATTGAGTTTTACCTCCTTATTTTGCAGATGAGGAAATTGAGGCTTATAAGGATTAAGTGTTTTGCTCAGGATTACAACTAGTAAGTGTCTGAGGCTGTGTTTCAACCTTTCTCCCTGATTTCACACTGGGCTCTGTCAGATTAATTGACTTTAGTTGATTATATCAAGTATGAGAACATGTATACAAAGCAAAATGGGAGAGAAAGAGCAAGAGAGAATATTATCAAGTTTTGATATCCATTCTTTCTGTAATGGACTCAGCTGTACTGTTTTTGGCCTTTGAGAACACATCAAACAACATTTGCCTGAAGCATATTTGATTGATGATACAGTCCATGGAGGTCTGTTGGGTTCCATGATGGGATTCTTGTTTTTTCCACTGAATGTTGTCAAAACTTGAATGCAGTCTCAGATTGGTGGGGAATTTCCGTTTCCCCCCAAGGTTTTTGGAAAAATCTGGCTAGAGTGTAATGGGAAATTGACACATCTTTTCAGAGGTGTCCATCTGAATTACCATCAACCCCTCATATTCTGGGACATAATCAATGCAACTTATGAGTTCTTGTAACAGCTTTTATGAAAGATGTCATCAATAAATCCCAATAATAAGCTCAAAATAAGAAAACAAAGGTATGTGATGACAACATTTTTATTAAATAGGTATATTAATAAGCCAATAAGGATTTTTCAAGTTACTTATATTCATCAGAACTGTATTGGATATTTCAGGGGATATAATAATAATTTCTGCTCTCTAGGCCTAAGTTTTCTTATGTGAAAAATGAGACTCGATGTGTTATTTGATTATCTTCATTGGCTCCATCTCTTATGTCTTTAGCATCTATTACCTAGATCTAGGTAATAAATAGAAAATTGAGACAATCCTTTAGATAATTGAAACACAAAGACCACAGAGTCCTTAGTTATCTCCTGTATTTAATAATGCAAATCACTATAGTGAGTAACTTAGGTTAATATGAGCAATAAACTGCATTTTTACTCATAATGATATACAACCACCTCAATTTCTTGTCACAATGTTATTGACGAACTAGTCATTTAGAATGCTATTCTACCAGAAAAAAAATTAAACATCCTGTTATTTGGATAAATAGGCTAATATTTCATAGATCTCATCTTATAATATTTCAGGTTCAACAAGATTTAGTCTATGATGTGTAACGTGCCAACCCATACACACAAGAGAAGCGTTAACTTTAACTTAAGTGAATATGAGGATGTTACAGAAGCCATTCATCCATTCTCTTAGCTATCAAGCAGCTCAAAAGCAGCTGCTGTGGTTGTTTTGTCATAATTAATTAAGGAAACATTTGTATGCCTGGAGAGAAAAGGAGAAACTAGATCTGGAAGAAAGGGAGAAGATAGTAATTAAAAGATAATTAAATTCATGATTATTTATGGCAACGTATCATGAGGGTTATATCAAACAATACTTGTTCTGCATTTCTAGAGGTTATGACTTCAAATGGATACCATTGGTATACAGAAAAAAAACTAAATTGGCAAACTTTGAGCAAAAATGTTACATTATATATAAGCAACCAATTAAATAGATTTAATTGGGTAGTAAGCAAATGAGCAATTTTATGTTCCAACAACTACCCAACCATTTTCTAATAGAAGAGCCACATTTTTTTAAAGGCAAGTGGGGTTAAGTTACTTGCCCAGGGTCTCACAGCTAGTAAGTGTCAAGTGTTTGGTCTGAAGCCAGATTTGAACTCAGGTCCTCCTGATTTCAGGGATGGTACTCTATCCACTGTGCTACCTAGCTGCCCCTGAAGATCCACATTTCAAAAATAAATGCAACAAAAAATAATAATTTGGCACTGTAAGAAGTGACTGTGCCAACTGAGGGCATGGATTAGCACAAATTTTCCAGATGGGGATGTCATGTCTATGAGATCAAGGAGAGTTACACTGTGTGGGGTACATGGATAGAAGACTTGAATGTAGGTAGATTGGTTCTGTTCCATGTGATGGAAAAATCACTTTAGGATTTTAAAGAAAAGAGCAAAATTCTAAGTAAAGAACAGAAATGGTTCTAATACTGGAGCAAAAGCATGGGAAATTGATTGCAGGAGGGACAATAAATGGATAACTTAGAGAGCAGATAGTCCAAGAAAGGTCCATTTGGACAAGTTAAGTATGATATTTCCTTTTTCATGGTATTCCCTTAAATAATCCTTTCCTTACCATTCCTATAAATCACTGTGAAAGGAAAAGTATCACACTAAATTTTCATAATGGGATCAAATCTTGCTTCTTTTCACACTTCCTCCCAGAATAATTATATCCAACTCTATTCCATTATTCCAACTCCTCTCATCAATTATTGAAACATATTGAAACATAATAATAATGAAGATGCCTTACATTATATATTATTTATGGTATTTTATAGTTTACTGAATACTTTATGTCCATTGTCTCATTTGAGCCTCATAGAAATCTTTCCAACCAAATTTCCTAACCAAAACATTTATTATGGTTGAACATAGAATAAGTGTTCAGTCATTGTCAGCAAAAAGGCTAAATGAAAACTTGAATTTTATTATAGGGAAAGTAAATTGCATGAAGGCTGTGCCTATCGATGCTGTCCCCTATAAAGGGAATGGTGGGATACAGATTTTGTATTGTGTTCAACTCTTTATGTTTCTATATCAGTGTGAATGGAAGAGAAGAAAGAATTCCCGTTGCTCTTGAATACATCATTTTTTTTATGGTTCCTTTAACTATTTGGAGGTCCTGCATTCCTATGCATATTTTTCCAGAAGTCAGTTACAATAACAATAAAAAGAATTTGAGTTACAAAGAGCACCCTCTTGAAAAGCAAGATTCAATGAAATTAATTGCATCAACTTGAGCAAGTTGTTTAACCTAAGTTTGATTGGGTGACTTAGAGCTCTAGCATTCTATGAAACCATTATTCTAATTAGACCATAAAACTGCTTTCTTTTTCCTAATGAAGTAATACAAATATAAATATTCCTCATTTATATTAACTAAGAAATAGAAACATAATGAAACTTTTAGATGCCACCCTTTTGTATAAAAAACAAAATAAAACTCAAAAATTTGTGTTACCATTTGCACTTTTTCTTACAGCAACCTGTAAACAGGATATTTTTTTTGTGTTCCATTTAAAAGTCTCCCATTATATGGTGCTTATGTGCTGGACAATAATATGTTATAAGTAATATATTCCATATCCTTCTTTTTTTTGTAATATTTCTCTTTATATCTAGGTTATGTGTCCATTTTGACCTTATCTTAGTAAATGGTACAAGATACCAGTCTATATCCAGGTTCTCCCATACTGCTTTCCAATTTTTCCAATAATTTTTATGAGATAATGTATTCTTATCCAAAAATCTCAAGTCTTTACATTTGTCATATACAAGATTATTATGTTTGTTTGCTGCTATAAATTGTATGTAAACTCTATTCCATTGATCTTTCTGTTTCTTAGCCAGTACTATCCAGCTTTGCTAATTACTACCTTATAAAGTAGTTTAAGACCTGGTACTGCTAAACCTCCATCTTTTATATTTTTTCTTTATTTCCTTTGATATTCTTGAATTTTGTTCTTTCAAATGCAACTTGTTATTTTTGTCAATTTGGAAAATTAATGTTTGATAATTTAATTGGGATGGTCATGTTGGATATATAAATTAGTTTGGGTAAAATTGTCATTTTTATTATATTTGCTCTACCTACTCATGAATAATTAATATTAATGCAATTGTTTAAATTTAATTTTATTTGTATAAAAGGTTTTTGATAGTATGTGTTGATAAAAAATAAGTTAATTTTAAATATTTGAAAATATTTTTGTGATTAGTAAATATGCTTTTTAAATCAGGAAGGAGACATTAAATGAGAAGAGGATAGATAGATAGATAGATAGATAGATAGATAGATAGATAGATAGATGATAGATAGATACATAGATACATACATATATACATACATATATATATATAGATACATAGATACATACATAGATACATAGATAGAGCAGACATATATAGGAAGATGATAGAGAGATCTATGGAAATATAGATCTCTATCTATTTATCTATAATGAAAGCATCAATTTTGGAACAATATTTCAATGTACTAGCATGTTTAAAACCCAGTCAGTTGGCTTCCTTTTCTAGTTCAACTGTACTTAATTTCTTTGAGGGCAACAATTTTATCATCCACTTCCTTTTCCTGATAAAAGCTAGTACAGTGATTTGCACATGATAATACTCAATAATTGTTTGATAAATTAAAAAATACATAAATTCAATATTGTAGATTCACTCTATGTTAGAAAATATGATTTTTATAATAATATATAAGAAAATGTTTTTAAAAAACACAAATTTGGATGAATAAACATAATTTTAATAGAAGTTTGATGGCTGCTATTTTAAAACTAAATATGTGAATACATTTACTCTGAAATATCACAGAAAATGTGTCACTGGACAATGATATGTTGTTAACAATATGGAATCATAAGTTAGCAGTGACTGATGACT